ACAAAACAACTTCCTTGGCTGTTGAGGGATGTAGAGTATGAACTTGCAAAATATTCACTATCATTTGAGTTAGATTTTTAATTAATTGAAGGTATAGATTACAAACCAACCTATTGTTTCCTCCCATAAGCTTTGTAGTAATGAAAAAGGAGATGGGGTGGTAAATTAAGGCTGAAGGTTTAAATGAACAGATGAAATTGAACCTTTAAGAAAATTAAGGGCATAATTACTGATAATCATGATATTTTTGAATACTTTCAGAAGACTGCCTCCTCATTCATCAAGTCTTTGGGGGAAAGAATAGTGAAGTGCATTCTTTAATGCTGGCAGCTTCCATTGACAGACCATAAACACCTGGAAGGGGGAATGGAAAGGCAGATCCTCTGGCTCACCGTCATCTGTTCTGTATTTCCTATGAAACTTTTTTCTTTTTTCCAATATTAAATACTTGAGAACAAGTTAGTGAGAGTGGAATGAAAAGGAGCTAAATCTATTAACCTCCACTTAGAGGGATCACAAAATCACATTACTCCAGGGACTTTTTATTCCACACAAATGAACGTTAAAAATAATTTTGTTTGAAACAAGCCTGTGGCCTTAATTTGGTCCCTGGTTTATGACCTCTGAATTTATTAACTTTTCTGAGATATAATTCACACCACTAATTCCAAAACATTTTTATTAACTCAAAAAGAAAACTCAAACCCAGTAGCTGTCACTCCTGACCACCCATTTGCCCAGCTCTTGGAAATCACTAATCTACTTTGTTTCTATGGATTTGTCTATTCTCTACATTTCAGATAAGTGAGATCATACAGTCTGTGGTCTTTTGTGCCTGGCTTCTTTCACCTAGCATGTTTTCAGGGTCCATCCACGTCATAGCATGTATCAGTACTTTTTCTGGATAGACCATTTTGTTTATCCATTCATCAGATGATGGAAATTTGGGTGATTTCCCCTTTTTGGCTCTTATGAATAATGCTATGAGAATTCATACATAATGACCTCTGAATTTAAGTTCAAATATTTTAAGTTAGCTTTGTAAATAGTTAATACTTTAATGTGGTTCAATATTATATACTATATACTAGCACCTGCAGAAGCCAGAATCTGACAAAGGTGGAAACTTGAGACCCAGAAAAACAAGCACTCCTGTTGAGTCCAGGCTCACAGGTTTCACTGCATATGCTAGCAATTAATATCCACCACCTGTCGGTTTGTCATTTTATGGTGGTTTACTCATTGCTGTAATGCTGGATGTTAGATGTTTCAGGAAAGCTGAAGACAGACTAGGAAGGCCTGGAAATCTGCTTTCAAAAATTAGCCTATGAAAACCCTATGTATCACAACAGAACATTACCGGACCTGCTAGCCTTAGACACATCACCAGGTGTGCTCACTTGCTGGAGGAGAACTTGTGTGGTGAAGCGGAGGGCCAGTGAGGGTGATGCAGACCCTTGGATGGATTGCCACAGTAATGGACTTGAACATGTTGGTGATCGTGAGGCTGGCTCAGGCCATTGCAATGTTTCATTCTGCTGTTCATAAAGTTGCCATAAGTCTGACTCAATGGCAACTGATGTCCTTCCAGCGTATCCAACTGTCCCTTTTATCTTAATTGAAAGGTAGCACACTTAGGCACTGCTTTGCACCTTGCTTTTTCCCTTAAATTGGAATTAAAGATGCTAGCCTAGTTGAGCAACTTGTTTTTAACCCACCCTCTGCTTCTCAGGATACATACTTTTATAGCCCCCCAATTTAATTTCAGCAGGGTCATTAAAGCTGATGACAAGAAAATCTAAGGAAATACTAGTAAGGAATTGTCTATGATATATGGCACATCTTATACTGATTCATAATGCCAGAATTAGGATATGTACCTAAAAAGTAGCAATAATTTGGTTTAAAAAGTCACTGTTCTGATTACTATGTAACCTTATTATGAAAGTTGTTAAACTGCAGGAAGAAAAGGTCAACTTCATTATGTAAATATTAAACAAGCTATCAAAAAGTTAGTTAAAAAACAATCTTTTTCTATTTACTATTAGGCCACTACTACTGGGTAAGCACAGGAGCTCTGGTGGTGCAGTGCCTAAGGCAGTTCACTGCTAAACAGAAGGCAGGAGATTCAAACCCACCAGCCACTCCTCGGAAGGAAGGTTGGGCAATCTACTTCCATAGTGATACTGCCTCGGAAACCCAAGGAGGGGTTGCTGTGAGTTGAATAGACTTGATGGCAGTGAATTTGGTTTATTTGGTTTACTGGGTGAATACCTACTCCACTGCCAATGTTGTGAGCTTTTGTGCTGTGGCAACTTTTATTTGGCGGTTTCTCCTAAATGGCTATCATTTTTTATTGCCACACAATAGAAAACAGCCATAAATATTTCAGAAATTGAGCTTGAGGCACATCACACTTCACCCAAAACCAAACACTGAAACAATTCTAAGATAGAAATACAGAAGGAAAGATGCGTTCTTTATTTTACTGATTAGCTAGAGAACAACAGAAGTGTTGGCTACTGGAGCATAGTAGGAATCAAGTAGGTCATGGTTGGAGCCATGTGAGACCCTAATGACCTCACCAAGGTATGTCCTGGAAAGGCTGAGATGGGGCAAAGTAGTCTCCTCTAATAGTGCTTAAGGAGCTCTGGTAGCGTAGTGCTTAAAACATTTGACTGCTAACCAGAAGGCTGGCAGTTCAAACCACCAGCCACTCCTCGGAAGGAAGGTTGGGCAATCTACTTCCGTAGTGATACTGCTTCGGAAACCCAAGGAGGGGTCACTATGAGTTGGGTCCAACTTGACAGCAGTGAGTGTGGTGTGGTTTAATAGTGGTTAAGGTGCTTATAATTTCCAGAAGCTACTTTCTTTAGCTGTTGGTTGACTCTTCAGGTGCTAACAGCTGAATTCCACATTCGCCCAAGAGCTTTTCTTAATTCTGATCCAAGCCCTAACACTACTGTATAAATAAGAAATGGAGTAAGAATGAGGGGCCAACTAATTTTAAGTGAATTTAACATATATCTCAACACAAACAATTCCAAACATAATATATGTCTTACAATTTATAGAAAAATCCATGTAATCCTAAAATTATTTGATGTGATTTTGACAGTTATCTACAGTGAACCCAAACACCTTTGTAGAAACGTAATGTTTTGTTTAAAAGTACCTTGCCACCAAATATTAAGTTCAATAATATTTATCTCATAATCATCAGCTGTAATACAAAACCCAGGAGACTGAATAATTGATAAAAAGAGCATAATCAGAACTGCAAATGCAAGCTACCATTAATTCCCTAAAAAGCCAAAACCTTTCTATTTTCCCATTTTCTGTCCTGAATGAAGAAATAATTAGGAGACAGTATTTTTTAATTTTAAGATGGTTTAAAAATTGGTGGTAAGCTGGAATAAGTGAATTCTTGTAACATGTAATACTAAATACGTTGAGGAGTTCTTGGTTTCATTGGAAGGCATTTCTAATGGTAAAGGTTTTCCAGTTGTAATACAACATGAAGCAGAGATAATTCTTAGTCATTCCAAATACAAAATATAATTTCTTACTGGCGATTGATAACATATTTGGACTGAAAGAGATTCTTGGCTTTATTCTTAAGAATTTTTTTGATGTAGATTTTTTTTTTCATCCTTTTGAGGTATCCTCATCCTCCCCACCCAAAGAATCCAAGTATGTCTAAAATTAAGTCAAAGGGGAG